AAAAGAAATAGAAAAACTTAACCTAATACTGAAGGAGACAAACTATTTGGTTCACGATCTACAAGAGGAACTTGAAATGAAGGGTTCATTAATTGTGAAAGAAATTCACACTGAGGATTATAACAATGACGGGTTGCATTCACTTTCTCAGCAGAATCAGAAGACATCGGAGTGTTGTGTTGAAGAACATCAATGGAAGCATACAGATGAAGAACCAATGAGTAAAATTGAAGTAGAGCTTGAAATGGAACTAGAGAGATTAGAACAGAATATGGATTCATCTCATTTGGAAGGGAAATTCATGGAACTAAATGAGGTAAAACCTTTTCATTTTATTTTTACTTGTGTAGTAAGTAGTAACCCACACTTACCCATATAATTTGTTTGCTTAGTTATGTAATAAATTAATAATATCACATACTGAAAGAATATGCATATACACAAACCAACATATACTTCATTGGGTTACTCCTCTTATAGAGTTGACTTCATATGGTGGTATTTGTTTGGTATTATTTTACCTGTCACTAATTCTATAAGGTTGATTTTTAGGATGAACCACAGATCTTTATATGGTAAGAACCTTCATCCTCAAACAACTTTATCTCCAAACAGTCAAACCAACAATTGATCTGACTAAGACTCATTGAGCACACAAATTTCAAAATTGGTCAAGTCTAGCAACGTGGCACAATCTTACGAGAGTATGTTTAGTGATCCCCACCCTTACTGTGTATAAATATACAAATCAATATATAAGATTTTGCACTCTTTTTTCTTTCAAGTCTTAATGGATGGACTGATATGTTTTATCTGGGATTTACTCACTGTTGCCCAAAAAACTTCACAGCTTGACCCAGAGTTCATACCAGATTTACCAGAGGGTGAGTTACTAGATCAGGCCTTTAATAGAAGGGGTACTCTACATTATGGAGACCGTGATGAAGGTGACAAATCCACTCCTCCCTTGGCAAATTATGCTGTCTCGCCTAGAGAACTATGCTTGAGGCTACATGAGGTCATTGAATCACAACTTCAAGAACGTGTGAGGGAGCTTGAGACAGCTCTTGAAAATAGCCAGAGAAAGGTTCGGTACATGGAAGAAGAAGAATATGTAGAAGAAGAACAAATGAATTCTTGTATAGAATTATCTAACCGTCCACATGTTTGGTCGTGAATTTAGCTAGATGCTCAAGATGAAACGTCAAAAGCAAGAAAGCCAGAAGCTGACGAGATTCAGAAGCCTCCTGATTATGGGCGTAGAGGGGGGAACCGAGCCTCGAGCTTGGCTATTTTTTATCTTGTTCAATTTTTTGTGTAAAAATGTATATGAATGTACATTTTTTCCTTGCCCCAATTTTAATTTTTTCTGGGATCCTGCCTACGCCACTGCCACTGCTAGTGATTATGATCCAGATCAGATTCTCAAAGGTAGGCTGATTGGTGATGTTTGAGATGGAAAAGGTTTTGATTTAGCATATTGCTCAGAAAGCTAGGAAACGCTCTCCTGCAGTTGTGTGTGCCCAGAAAGCATTGGTTCGCATGAAAGTTGATGAACTTCAATATTGGGATTTGGTGTTGCCAGGTTTTATATAATGAAGTGGTTAAGATTTTGTATTCATTTTTTGTTGAGTTCTCATTTTTTCACATAAGTTTTCTCATTAGAAGTTTAAGAAATTGACCAAAATGGGACTAAAACATAGATAAAAAGACAAAGTAGGACATAACATCTTTTTTTCCCATTATAGGAGTCATCCGCTCCTAGTTTATGTTTCTGTCGTTTCTTCAATGTCTAAATTGCGCTTGCTTTTCTCATCGCTCTGTCTTGCTCGTAGACACCGCCTCCATCATCATCGATCTTCTTCTCCTGCACTGTCCGTTCTTCTCGCCTCCTGCACTGTCCGTTCTTCTCGCCTCCTGCACTATCCGTTCTTCTCTGCTACATAGTCTCCAAGTTCAATCTTCTTCTCTTGCTATGTCGCAAAGTACTCCAGGTTTGATCTTGTTCTGCTTCCTCCATCCCCATTCAATTTTTTTATTGTAAACTCCACCAACTTCAGAAATACGGCTCTTCCTCCTCTGATTTCTTCTTCTCCTTCTCTTTGTCTCCTCCATGGATTTTCTTCTTCTTCTTCCTCTGTTTTTTTAAAATGTTGTGTTTGCTCTCAAAATGTCATGAATGTGACAATTACATATGTAACAACATGACAATTGTTCTTCTTCTCCTTCTCCATGTCTCCTCCATGGATTTTCTTCTTCTTTCTCTGTTTTTTTTTTGAAATGTTGTGTTTGCTCTCAAAATGTCATGAAGTGGCAATTACATATAACCATCTTTAAAGAGAGTGCGATAAAAATGACATCATTTGGAAAACATGTCATTTCTAATAATAAGTAGTTATGTCATTCTCAGATAAGCCATAAAAATGCCATAAAATGCCATAAGAATGACATTTTCAGATTGTCATCATGATAAATGTACTGCCACAAGTGGCGAACATAAAAAGAGTGACACAGGACAATTTCGGCATTCCACTGTTATTTTAGTCCTAAGCTACTTCGGATGAAACTAGTAGTCCTATAATGGATTTTTCATTAGAAATTGCCCTAAACAGAAGTAAAAACGTCATGAAATTTCAAAATAGAAGTATCATATTTTTCATTCCTTAAATAGGAGTAATCTGTCAAGTTTGGAAAAAAATGTCATGTTTAATAGCCTAGTAATGCCAAACTTTGCAGGAATTTACTCTTATTTAAGGAATAAAAAACATGATACTTCAATTTTGGAATTTCAAAACTTTTTTACTTATATTTAGGGAATTTACTCTTTTTTCATATTTAGTTAAATCTTTCAAGAATTTGTACCCAATAAAGACATCATCATATCAATCAAGAAAACATTCCCTTTGAGTTGGCTTATCCCAAAAAGACCAGGGTAGACCCGCTTCCCGAACTAGACCAAAGCAGGCAGCACCTCGGGTACGGGTCTGTTTCATTTTTATATTTATATTTATATTACTTAAAAATAGAATAAAATTGCTTCACAATAGAATAAAATTGTAAAAACTGCCTTAGGTGTTAGGACAACTCGATAATTTTAAAAATAGTATGAGCTTTTAATGCCTCATGATGATTTTAAGAATAGTTTAATCTTACTTAGAAACTAGCTTTCAAACCCGTGCATCCAGTATGTAATTTAGTTTATTTGAAATTTAATTTCTATCGGATCACATATAATGTGATTTAAAAGAAAAATAAACTTAGTCTAATATAGAGTCTGTTTGATAATACTAAAGTAAATAGAATTAACTTATTTTGCTGAAATTGATTGAATTCTGATTAAATAGGTGGAATCTTCTGAATCATGAAAAATATATGTGAAATATATTCCATTTGTGAAACAAATAAAAAAATATATGAAAAAAAGTTAAACTGATCTTCTACATAAGCATCTCAAGTAAACATAATTGTTATGAACCCAATAATAAAGCATCTATATTTCTTAATCGTTAGATCTTACAGTTTACTCATTAATAAGAACGTTTTTAATTGAATTAAAATTTCGGGTTTGATTTTGTATGAATTAATATGGTCTATTAGATGTCTGTTTTTTATGTGACTTATTGTTATAATTATTAAAGTTTGATCTGATCTGATTTAATCTAGAACTGAAATCAATCCAATTAAAAACATTCTATTAAAATAAAAGTAGGAATTCGTAAACCTATAAAGATTTTCTAATTTGGATTAGGAATCTATTTCAAAACTGAAGACATATTTGAATTTTAGGTGTAAAATAAAGAAACAATCAGAAAAAATTACTTATTTGGCTAAGCTAAACATATTTACTTGTGAAAATATATATACTTTATGTTGGTTATAATTTTTAATTTCATTTTTAATTATTTACTTATTTGAAGCTTACTGATTTATTAATAGGTGTCAAATTAATAAGTAAACTAATTTGCATATTTGTTTCTATTTAATTCGATGTAGTAAACTAGTATAAATTAGTTTCCATATCAATAAACGTTATTAGAATTTCACTTTGATAACCAAAAATTATTTTACTTATTTGAAGCTTACCAAATTAATTAAGGTGGATTTATAAGGATTTTTTTTCCATATCAATATGCAATCAAAAATAGAATCCAATAAAAACAAAAAGTATGAAAATAAGTAAATAATTGTTATATATAATGAAATGACAAGATTATGTAGCGTTTTGTATGCTCTTAAAAAGTTCATCTTTCATATATATATATATATATATATATATATATATATATTGATTTTCTTTGTTTTAGAAATGTTAATCGTTGAATTTTTAAAAAAGAGAAATTTTGATTTTGGTTAGCCCAAATTTGCACATGTTATTATTGCATATATTTTCCAAAATCAAAGCTAAATATACAATTCAGAGAAAATAGATGACATTGATATAAAATCCCTTTTCCAACAATGCATTTCTCGAATCAAGTAAGGGGAACTGCTTGCCGTTGCATATTAGAACTCATTAAGGCTCGATTCGCATCAATATCATATAATAGTATACATATCATCAATAATAGTATACATATCATCAATATTTCATTTTTGTCCTCTAAAATGTTCTCTGTATGATGCCAAAAGAAAATGAATTATGTACAAAAGGATAACGATAATTTCAGGAATTATGCTAACTAAATTCATGAAATAACAATGGTGGAATGGAAGGGAAAATAGAAAAATAAAACATAATTATTTTAATAATACTTTGGTGCAATCATGTCCTTAATTTATATATTTGGTGCAATCCCATACACCAATTATATATAAACATGAACAAATCTGCATACTTAGGAAGTTTTCACCTATCGGAGTTTAAAATTGTAGAGTGTAGACTATATTTTAATTATAAGAGAAAAAAACATAAATAAATTAGATTAAATAAATTATAAGAGAAAAAAACTTAAATAAATTAGATTAAACACGATTACAATATTTTAATTTAAACTCCGATTCCTCAATGTTGTAATACGGAGTATTGTATGGCCGTATGAAGAAACGAAAGCGCGCGCATATTTCGGTAAGGGATTCCGCTAGCATTTGGCCGGTAAGTTTCGGTGCAAGTTTTCAATTCGATCTCTTCGCACACGGCTGTGGTTGGATTCAATCCGGAGTACTCTAGTAGGGAAATTGCTCTGCAAATTGCATGCGAGGCCGCCGAAGACGAAAGCTTGTTCGGTGACTGTTCGGGCCATATCCCGGTGCCGGCGGCCCGGCTCTTCCAAGTCGCTCCTTGGTTCGATATTCTGAACACCTGGTTCACGCATCATTTGGTAATTGAATTGAAGATTATTGTTTTTATCATTGATAAGGAAATTTAGGTTTGCGTCATTTTAGGCTTTGTGCGCTAAATGATAGAGAATTTCTTCCTTTCAAAGCAGTAATTTCTGGTAGTTGATAATGGAGGCAAATGAGCTCCGATTGGAAGATGAATTTTTCAATTGATGGTAAATAGGTGAAGCCTACCTAATAATTAGGGGACCACGAGTAAAAAAAATCCATCACCAAAGCCAAATTATTTTTCGACTCCAATTGATGTTACCAAACTCTTATCCTTTGGAAACAATTAGAAAACCTTATTGTTAAGTATGAAATAGGTTAATTCATCTTTAATGGAGATTCCACTGCAGAATCAACCATGGAGAGTTGTACAGACACATCATCATACAGGATTCCTTCAGCTGTGTTTGCTCCAGATACGCCTCCAAGATGCTCAGACTGGAGTTCAGCTTCCAATGAATCATTGTTCAGTATCCAAATGGGAGGGAGCTTCACCAGGGATCATTTCTTTGGCTACTCTGGGGAAATAACGAGTGATCTCCCTCCTCGTATCCAGGCTGTGACCAATGAAATGACAACTGATCCCCCTCTTCCTATCCAGGCTGCAACCAATGAAATGACTACTGATGGAAACAATCACGAGGTAGGACAAAAACCACAAACTACTGATGTCTGGAAAGGGGTCATACAGGAGCGAGAGGAACACAATCAGCCCAAAAAGTTAAATGAGGAGACACACATTTCTCATTACTCTGTGGAGAGTATCACCAGTGACAGATCATTTGCATTCCCAATGTGAGTATTCCATATTCCATAATTGTGATTAGTTTTTCCACCTCATACCTGAAAACATTAGCGCTTGCTAAGTTCCAATAGTGACACCAGTCTCACTCCAGTCTCTCTTTAAATAAGCCAGGATTGCTCTCCTGTCAGATGTGGGAAGTTTTTCGTACCTGACTGCTTTGATGTTCTTTTCCTCAGTTTTCTAACACTAATAACCACCTCTTTGTGAGTAGATACTACTAGATAATGTAGTCGTTTATTGTTATGTCATCTCATACCACATAATATAAAAAGATACAAACTCGCATGTACGACCTTAGGTTCCTTCCTATATGAAGTTGATGTTTTAAGATGAACTAGTCTTAATATGGTATTAAAATCTATTTTGTTCAAATGAGCAACCAATCCTGTTAAGGCTAAAAAAGAGTATAAATTTCAAGATTGGTCTTCTTTCAAGATATTGGTTGCTCTTACGAGCCGCCATCTTGTGCAAGAATTTGTAGCCATTCCATGCTCTCTGAATTTAAGAATATAAAGTAAGATATACAACTTTGAATTACTCTATTAATTTGACCCTTTCATATGCAATCCCAAGTCTTGATATATACTTGTTCTTGGTGTGAAGAAAAGCCAAATTTTCAATCAGGAAGGTGGAAAAGTATGCTCTATTTGGGCCGAAGAGCAGGGGTTGGATATAAATGTGCATATAATTTGAACATTTTTAATGGCATCTAGATGAGAACATGATCTGATCAGTTTGAATGTAATGAAGATTGACAGGGCAGACCGATAAAGAAGGCGCTGATAGCATTGGCAATGGCCGGGTGCAATTGAGCCAAGAACAGCGGCAACAGCCAATGTCAGAGCCACTACCACAGCGGGAGGAATCATTAAAACCATCTGAGCCAAGTAACAATCAAGGAGAGCCATTGCCAGACCAAACTACTTGGTTTTCTTGCTTCTCTAATTTCCCTTGTTGGCCTTGTACATTTTGTTCTTGGAAGGGGAGTTTTTGCCTCAGCTAATTTTTTACTAGTCTCAAATGTTAAAGAAAAAACTCAATTTTGTGAAGGTTTTGCATTACATTAGAAGGAATGTTTAGACAGAGCCGTTGCTGGAGATTTTGATACTGAGAGCAAAGTTTATACCTGTGTCTCAAGTCATAATTGTCACTTTATTGACCCCAGAGTTCAAAAACAACATCTCCACAAAGAAATAACCATAGAAAAAAACCGACATACAAGGTAAAAACTCGAAAGAAATCTTTAGTATGTAGTTATAGAAAAACAATGATCAAATTACTACTCCTGACGTTCACATTTTTTACTTTGTCATATTTTCCTCTTTCATTGCCCTTCATATATTGAAAGAAAATTATTGGCACTAAAGTGGTAGGATATACATTTCATTTGCATTGAATCCCATATTCTGTTATGAACACTTATGAATATGTTTGCCTATACTTGTCATAAAATTAATTTCTACTATTGGACATACCCTAAGTTTTACCCTCTTTCATGAGAACCATCTTCTCATCTTCTGTCTACATTTCTAGAAAGGGAATGTAAAACATGATTACTGATTTTACTCGGCTAATCCAGAAATCAAATAATAAGAAATACTCCGTACTATGTTTCTACTTTTCTTCTTCTCTTATTCGGCATATTAAAGAGGAAGAAAATGATGTGATTGAAATTTGTTTAGACTTTAGAGGAAGAAAAAAATAGCATCCGCAAGATTTATTCTTGTAAACGTGAACAATTTTGGGACAAATTGAATAGAAAGAGTACATCTTAAAATGAAAAATGTAATAATACTATTCAATTACCTAATGAAATAAGTACTACTGTCGTCATTACAAAATCCCCCATTAGCTAAATCATTAGTCCCATCAAAATTGTGGTTCAAATGTACAATTCTTTTATGATTTTCTGTATCTGTTATGCTGGACATTGTCAAGTTTATTTTAAGTGTAAAATAAGAAAAACCAAAATTATGTGATTGAGAATTGTGTCAAGGAAAGAGAAATAAATAGAAACACAAATTATCTATTTTAAAGGGAAAGTAAAATATTTTAAAGGTATTTCCAATAAAAGACACTTTAAATTAAAAAATTGATTCCCATAAGAGTGAAACATAGACCGTGCACAAAGAATAGTGGTTATGTTTTATCTTCACAATAGAACTTATTTGATTCTGTAAAAAGTATAAAATTTCCTCAATTAGAACTGATTGAGTTATATTTTGGGAATGAAACCCTGATGGTCAGTTATATGTTTTATTTTAATGTTTTATTCGTATTTTTAAAAACTTAAATATAAAGTTCTGGTTTTACCTTATGAGTTCACAATTTTATGACAAGAACTTATTTTTTCTATGAACTTATAAATGCCTGGGATAACTTACAAAATTATTCAATAACCAAATTTTGGAGAATTTTTAAATTGTAGAAAATGAATTATAGTTGCTTTTTTTAACTCATGACCTTTTAAAAAAGTTCATAGACTTTTATGAATGTGACATTGGTTTATACAAATATATAAATTTCATAAGAATGATATTTATCAAATGTATGAGAAATAGAAGTTTGAACAAAAGCTATATTAAATGACATTCATAAGTCTCAAAATCACAAGAGGTCAAATATGTGATTACACAAAACGGTAAGAAATAATAAACAAAATCTCAAATGCAACAAACTATGTTTATATTCTGCAATCACATTGAAGTAGATCCTTCTTGTTCAGATTTTATTTATTGTAAAATAACATTCCATAATAAAAAAATATGTTTTCGTTTGCAAACCTTGCATACTAAAATCGTCTCAATACCCCCCTGATCGAGTACTGAACCAGGAGGACCAAGACCGTTTGCGAAAATTAAGAAGAGGAAGAGAAAATAAAAGAGACTGAATATTGGTTACAATGTGTTAGAAGTCCATAATAAATCTTTCAAAAAAAGAAGTCCATAATAATCAATGATTTTATAATTCCATATTGATGCAAGTTTATATACCAAAAAAATAGTGTAGACTCTTAAAAGTATATTCAATATACCTAACTTTTAGAGTTCATATTCTTTAAAAATTTGACACTAATTTCATATAACATAATTCTATTTTAAGTAATTTTTCATGTAGTTTATGCTGAGTTTGAACAAACATTTACTACAGCTTAGTTAATTTAATATAGGTTCCATATAAGTGTATAACCTCGTCATTGATGGTCATAAAATTTGTATTAAACCTAGGGAAAAGTACGGATAAGGTATTTGTCGTTGGTCCCATTTTTTCAGATAGGGTCGTGTGTTTCATTTGCTATCAAAGTGGTTCATGCGTTTGAATTCCGTTATCACAACATGGTCCTGACACCTGATGTCCTTAAAAATAGTAAATCTGATTTTCAAAAGTGCGTGGAAAATTAAAAGAAAAATAGCTTAAGGTGCACCTCAACAAGACAACCGTTAAGTCATCTTTCTCTTTTTTATTTTCAGCCACCCTTGACACCGAAAAGTCCACTGCAAAAATAATACAAACAGATCCGAAAAATCAAAAGGCAAAGGTGGGTTGGTGGTCATCTTGACGAGGCGCATCTTTCGGTATTTTTCTTTTAACTTTCTGGACACTTTTGGAAATCACAATTACTATGAACCGTCTTCCTCAGCCGTTTTTAACGGTGTGACCCTCATGTGATAATGGAATTCAAACACATGAATCATTTTGATAAAAAATGAAACATATACCCTATAAATCTATATTCACTCAAGTTCATGCTTATTCAAGTTCACTTTGCTAAAAAGAAAAACAATTAAGATATATACCCAAGACCACTCACTGCTCCCCAAATCAAATGAACCATCGCCATTCAAACTCAAGTGTCTCTACCGGCCATCGGGTAAGGTATCGCAGCCAGAACTTCTATCCGTCGCCGCCGGTGCTGCTATCGGTCATCATTGCGGCCGGTCTTTACTCAAGAGGCTCACTTGGTAGTCGGTGTGCAGCAACGCAGAAGGTTTCAAGGTATCCAAAGCTTTGCTTTTTGTAACTAAAGTCAGTTCAAAGCATTTACCTTTCTCTATGGTGTGGTGTGGATTTAATTCAGATGAAAAATTGTGCCTAATTACTACAGGGAATAATTATTTTTGCCAGTTTTATGCCAATCTAGAGAATTCAAATTAAACACTGGGTTCGCATATACTTCATACTTGAACTGAAAGTCTGAAATGCTAAATTGGAATCACTTAATTTTTATTAGGCTATGAGTTCTCTGATAAAAAATCCACTTTACTACAGAGTTCAGATGTTATTTTGCACCACTTGGTTTGACATTCCAATCTCAAACAAGAGAACTTTGCTTTAATATTTCAAACGAATGCAAGTCAGCATCTAATATCCATATTGTTCTGGTGAATCTAGGTATCGAAAACATTGGTTCACTCTGGAGATTCTCCCATAACTTCCACTCAGTGTATAGGAGGTTGAGCTCTCCTCTCTACTAGGGAGTAATATTTTTGTTTTTATCTTGGCAAATCACCATCCAAAGGCCTTTTATTACATTTATAAGCTGACCTAATAACTGTCCAGATAAATTTTTGTACATGCACCTGGGCTCACCCAGTTTGTCTGAAATCTAGGTTCATCCAGGTTTACTAAATTTCATACAAACTAATGCTTATAAAGAGTCTTGCATTTGTGAGGCTTTGTAAGCCTCATGTGATTTGATGCGAAAGCCTTTAACTTTATGTTGTTCATAACATCCGTTACAAATTACAACTGCTAACAATTTATAACATATCATCAATCATACATTTAGAAAATGTCAAATGAGTTATAATTAATTAGTGTCATAGTCGAATATCATAAGTTAACTCTTTAAAGTTTGTTTGAAGAGTGTTTGCTCTAAAAAAGAACACGAAAAAGTTATCCAAATGAGAAAAAAGAAAGGAAATTGTTCGAGAATTTGATATTTTGGAGCAATTTGTTTAAAAGAAAAACTAAAGTAGTTGTTACTTCTATTGTTATGGTCTGAATCAAAAGGTAAAACTGTAGTTGGAGTTTGAACCTAGCTGGGAAGAAGACAAGAGGAGACGCGTATGCAAGGGCGCATGGTAGTTTGTACGTAACGCAAAGTAATTAAACTTTATAAGTAAGGCTGTGTGGATATAGTTGTTGATTTTGGATAAAGATTTTAACGCTTTAATGGGGCTTAGCAACTCACTAGTGAAGAATAGTAGACCCAGTATAACTTTCTTTAAATTTAAGAACAAGTCAAGACAAAAATTGAAAAAATATGAGATTTTTCGCAATACTCCACTATGCTTGAACTGTACAAAATGGTTCAACCATCTTATGCACCGGTTCATTCACTTGCGACTTAAGCTTCAGTTTTTTCCCACCCCTTCACATTGAAGTGGGCCTCTAGGCACTTTAAACTATGATCATAACCAAATGAAGCCTAATAGTAGTTTTGAAAAAACGTCAAATTTTTTCTTGACATGTTTTACTACTATTTAGGGAAATTTCCTTTTAGTTAATTGCTCCGTATTACTTTCAACTACTTGATATTCAAATTGTGGATTCATGTCATTTGTTGTCTTGTCTCACCATGAAAACCAACTATTAACATTACATTGAAACATCAGCTTTGGAGCAAATATTCTGATGAGGCAGTCCTTATGGTAATGCAAGACCAAAATGTAATTCTTTTTAAGTTGAAAACAATACTTATTTTTTTTATAGAAATGCTACATTTTTGTCTCGTTTCATTAGTTGATGTTCTCTAGTTTAACCTTTCATAATAGTAAAACATCAATACATTGAACTCATAGTGACTTACTCATTGTACACAATAAAATTCAAGATATATGCAATTCTTAAATATTTTTGTGGACTGATCCATGTGAAATTGATAAGTTTTGTTGGATAGAATTAGACGGGTCATAATCTTTTGTTGAATTCTAAAATGATGAATGCTACTTCCTCCGTCCCATAAAATTTTGTCAGCTTTCCTTTTTGAGATGTCCCAAAAAAGTTTGCCACTTTCCTTTTTAATCAATTATTTTGTGGTTTCTGTTATTTCTCTCTTTTCTGCACAAATCTCTACCACACAGTTTTTACTTTATTATTCTTCGTGCCGGTCAACTTTGACAAAGTTTTAAGGGACGAAGGTAGTATTAAAGAATTACATAGATAATAATTAGTTTTATCACCACCTTCAAATGTACTCCGTAGTTTTTTTGTATAAATGCCATATATCACATTTTTATATATGATAAATAATTTTTTGATGTTTTTTATATGAATTTATTGAAGATTTGAAGCCGATATAATCTTCTGAAAGGATGGATGCTAGTGAAGAGTTAGATGGATAGATAATTAGTTTGTCACCGCTGTCAAATGCCTTTTTGTATTATTTGCTCACTGATATCCCATTTTTTACTTCTTTTGTGCAGATGAGCTTTAGCATCCATTGTCCACACATGTAATTCAAATATCAAAATGGCACATCCAATTTGCTTCTCTTCCCAATCCCCCATCCCCCCAGCATCTTCCTCTTTCATCCCACCACCATCTTCAAAACTCCACAATCCAACCTTAAGCTTCCCAATTAAACCGACACGCTTCTCTCTCCACTTCTCAAAACCTAATATTTCCCTTTCTCCATCAAAAAGGTGTTATCCTAGAGCGGCCACTCACGACACAGAATCCAACAGGAGAGCCCCAGAAAACCAATCTCAACCGACAAAGTCAGATGCTGAGGTTGCTGCTGATGGAGGTGATAGAGATGACAAGGACGTATCGCGTTTGGCTTCAAAAATAAGGGAATATATAGAGACGAAGGAGCCAGATTTTTGGAGTGGAGTGGTGGAGGAGATAAGGGAGATCGAGTGGCCTGCTTTCAACAAGGTTATGGGTACTACTGGAGTGGTGTTGGGGGTTATTGCTGGATCCAGTATCGTTTTGCTTACCGTCAATGCCATTTTGGCTGAGCTTTCTGATAGGGTCTTCGCTGGGATGGGAGTCCAAGATTTCTTCAGCTGAGCAGACGAATGGAAGCTGCTTATTTTTCTCTTGTTTTGAGCACAAAATTGGGCTGCTCGTTTGTAATACTGTGTTATAAATTTGGCTATTTGGTTTTCACATTTTGATTTTTAATCCTTGAAGAATCATCAAATTTTATACAAATATGGCTATTTAGTAAATATTTTAATTTTAGTTATATATATGACTAAAATTAAAATATTGGACAAAAATGTGTCCTATAATGTTTAGTAACTAGTGATTATGGAGTTCAAATTTACAAAACAGTGGCTGCGGTGTTCAAATTATGTTGATTTTTTTAGTCGTTCATGACGTATATTACATGTTTATTATGATTCCACCCTTGAGCCAAGATTATCTCATATTTTCTTTTTGATAGATGGTTTCATATTTTCTTCAGGTCCATATTTTTCTAGCCACTATGGGGATAGTGCAAATTTTTCCATCTGGGGATAATACAAAATCTTCAATTCATTTTTATTTGGGAATGATTTATATGTTTGATTTTATTTCTCTTTGTATACAAATCACACGCACAAAATATCATTTTCTTAAGGGAAAGTAAATAGGACTAAAATAGTTTGAAAATTCCAAAATAGGACTGTCATGTTTTTTATTCCCAAAATAGGACTAATTACTGACATGTTTAGAAAATACTGCCATGTTTGGAGTCTGGTATTGCCAAAACATGACAGTAATTAGTCCTATTTTGGAATTTTCAAACTGTTTTAGTCCTATTTCGGGTATATATCTCTTTTCTTGATAATTGTTGACACAATTTTGGTAGGAAGGAGTAGTATAAGAAGATATACTTCATAGGCCAAACTTTTAACTGGAAAAGTTAAGTGCAACTGGTGGAGGCTCCGGTAACAGATATTTAAAAGGTAATCCTCAATGGCAGTAAAACTTTTAACTGCAAGGATCAAGATGTAGTATAATATGTGGAAAGAATTATCCCACAATGAGAATTACTGTACTAAAAAGAAATGAAAACTCCCTAATTTGCAATTCTACCAATTCTAAACTTTGAAATCATTCAGGATAATCTAAGCAGCACTTTAGATGCACCCTTCCCTTTTATGCTATACTGACAATGGCTTGGTCCACTCCTGAAACTGGTGGAGGCTGCCAGGGAAGTCAGTGAAGAGTCCGTCCACGCCAATCTGGTTTATCCACCAACTAAACTCCTTGTATGGATCTTGGCTGAAGTTGAAGTGCAAGTATGGTTGCTCGTTCCGGTATGTGTATGGATGAACCTAGAAGTAAAGATCATTATCTTCTTTCATGTTTAATAGACAAGAACTAGTGAATCAGGCATAAATAAATACTACTAATAAACAGTGAAATGTTTTGATAGGGGCATTCGGCATTCCTATGATCCCCAGGGAAAAGCTGTTATAAAACTTCCACAAGTACACATGATGCATCATCGCAACTCTTGGAACTAAATGCTTGAGACTTTAGGCTCCATTTGGTTGCAGGAAAATAACTTTTTGTGGAAAGTTATTTCCTAGAAAACATTTTCCACATAAAGTTATTTTCCTACAGGAGAGCATTTTCCACAAAGTTATTTTACTCCATTTTGTTGCAGGAAAATAACTTTATGATGAAAATAAATTATTTTATGGAGTATATAATACTACGTGCTACGTATAATGTTACATGGGAAAATCCAAAAACATGTTCCAAGAAACAAACCGAGTGCCTGTTTCCATTTAGAGTGCCTTTTTCTGAATGAAAACAGGCTATTGCAACTTAATATTTAGAGTGCCTTTTACGTGGACACAGTATGCCTCTTCACGGTACACATTTAGAACACAACACTTTGGTCCTGAGAGGTCCTGTTTTTTCTGTAACATATAAAATACCTGCAGGTTGAGGGCATGTGCACGTGCAACCAGATCAGTAGGTGGCTGCAGATAGTTATTTGAGACAGGAACTATGGTATCCTTCCACGGCCCAATCCCGACCACATAGTCTTTTATGAATTCAAGATAACTGTCTGAAGTTATATCCGAATAGGACTGGCATTTCACATTTATAATAAAAAAGGTCAAACCTCATTTTAATATAATCTGCCATGAATAGTCAAATAGCCCTCACCAGAAAATACAATAAACAAAAATTGCATAGTATATCCTGCTTTAAATAATGTTCAAATACATTCCTCTGTTTACTACAATATAATAACTACAAATATTATACAAGACTAGTATTTGGAATTACTTGCATCCATTTAGTGGAAACAACTGGATTACTGGGAGTTAATAAGCATTTTCTCTCTCTCTAAAAGTTACAACTAAAACATAAAGGAAAAAGCGACTACTAGTCTCTGAAAGTACTCTAAATAGAACACCAGGGTCACTAAAATGTAAAACTGTACATGGATGTGCATTAAAAGTCACATATTTTCTATTACTTTCATTTTATTCACATGTGATTATTTCATTGAACAATGGAATTCATAGGAACTAGAGGCTAATCCTAACAAGGCCTAGTTGTTGAAGGAGTTATATCTACGGCAAAAATATATAGTTGTAATGAAAAACAAGGAAATAAAAGTATTTGTGTTTTTACCTGCTGTGTGTCTTCAGTTAATATAGTGACATCATCAATCAAAAAGACCATAGGCAGGTCAGTGAGGTTGGATGCATAGGTAAGAGAGGTCGGGGCAAAGGATTGAATGAAAATAGGCTGTTTCATCCATTCCTTTGACATATAAGAACCTTTGTATCCGTACTTCCTAAGGGTTTCAACAAACTTGTCTTCAAACTTCTTACCACCTGACCACTTAACCTGTTTGAGGCAGGCATCGCTTTAAGGTTCAACCTAATTAATCACAATCTAATTAATAATTGAATTCAGCACCAAGGAATAAAGAACTCACATGCTGATTAACAAATACTGGGTTCTTTATTTCTGGATATATTCCAACAACTCTAGGGGCATCAAGTGCAATTGAAATGTACTCCTCAAATGTTATTATAGGGAACTTTCCTGTTTGGAAATAAATATAGTAAACAGGTGACAAAAAACAATACTTTTTCAATTCAAGATAAATGTCAATAACAAAATAAATTAAGTACTAACCGTTATATTGTTGATCTCGGAAAGAATATCTTTGTTTTGCTTTAAGGGTCTGCAGTTCAGCCAGTGTGAAATCAACTGCATTTGATGAAATAAACTATGTATATCAGTATATGCTGATATTGCTCTGACTTTAGATGCCTAAAATTTTATGTAAAGGGTATAAATAGATATGGAAATTTATTTCCGGGATCTATGGCTCCAGGAGAAGAAACTTGTGTATATATACTGTCAAACAATTTAGATGAAAATGTAAGACATGACAGTGACTTGTGCACTTGGACTCATTTCAATGCCAGACCATAAAACTTAAACAAACATAACCAGATAATAATAAAAAACAGATATATCAAACCATCACAGACGGCACTAGTTCTAAAGGACCTCAGCACACTTAACATTCATGCCTAATGTTTCTTTTTTTAGGCATGTCATTTCTTCTTCGAGAAAGATATGCTATGTCATTATTATTGTTAGAACATTACTACGTATTACTCCGTATTTATTATGTGAGCACAAACCATGGTAGAAATGTAGAAAGAGTACCAGTGAAAAAGCCAGTTGTGTTGACCCATTGAACTTCATAAGTCCTCTTTCGGTCTGCAAACTCTTTATGATCAGCTATATCACTTGTATCATCAAGGGTTACATCATGATGACATATTAGAAAACCGTCTTTTGTTGCCAAAACATCTGTTTCAATGAAGTCAGCACCTTCTTCAATAGCCCTCTGCATGAAACTCATAGTTTCAGTTACAAATTGCATTAAGATAATAGAAGTGTTTAACCTGGGGGTGTTCAACTCATAGAATGTATGATTATCTTTGGTAATAGATTAGCTCTAAATGGTAATGGGAGATTAAAAGAATGTTGAATTGCCTCAAGGGGTTGTTTTGTTTACATAATGTGATTTTACTAAATGAGTCTAACTCGGTATAAAAATATCACAAAGGTAATCTTACAATCTTACAATATATGCAAGAAACCTAAGGTGATTCAGGGGCTAGTTAATTTTATTTTTCCATTGAGACTATTTATTGTGTACGGAATAAACAATCTTAATTCAGCGGAGCAACAAATTTAATGTTTATTTTGGCATGGTGCTATCAATAAGTAATATACTCCCTCCGTCCCGAAAATGTTGGCCAAATTTCCTTTTTTAGATGTCCCAAAAAGAATTTACATTTCCTTTCAAAGTAAAGAATATGTTGCTAAAATCAATTATCTCTCCTCTGCACAAATTTCAACCACACAATTTTTACTTTATTAATACACGTAAAAGTCAACTTTGGCCAACCTTTTCGGGACGGAGGAGTATTACTTAATAGTAAGAGACATCAATTCTATGAAGTTTTTTTAAAAAAATGGTCAAATATGGGACTAATATATGATGATGTAACGATTAAGTCAAAATTTTATTGAATGAATAAACCGTGCTCCAATTAAGTCATAAGTAAATGATAGATCACCTGAACCAAACGCCCCCTAATAACTATCACTTCAAGAAAGAGGATTTTTCACTGTGATAATATTAGTATATCACGTATACCATGTATGCAGGAGCGGTTTCTTCGGGGAATTCTCCATTTGAACCTCGGTGTGCGATGTTAAATGGGCGAAAAGTTTGTAAGGGCTGTTTGGTTCGGTCGTTTCTTCGGCTAGGAAGAGGGTAGAGAGGCCTGGCGGAGCATCCCACAAATAGTAACAGAAGAACAAATGGAGCAACGCCTGCCAAACGCAATGAAAACAAGAATATAAAAATGCAATCTTTATGACCAAAACCCAAAGTATATTCCAATTCAAGAAAGGAGCAAAATGAAAAGGATATGCAAATTATCAAATACCAAATGAACAGTAACTCAACAAAAGATAATATTATAATAAAAGAATAAGAAATTATGATCCGGGGGTGTGAAAGCTCACTTGGAAACGCAGCCATGGAGATTGACAGACAGGGTCTCCTCCAACTCTTGACTTCGCTGGTAGTGATATAAAAGTCCCCTTTTTGTAAATGTGGCGGAGAAAAGCATCACATTGCACGATGATGGCACTTCGCTCACTTAAGTAGCCGAGGATCATACGTGCAATCCCAAGGAATATTCTTTTATTTTACGACTCAATCGGATTAAACAACCGGATTGAAAATAGGTCACTTTGAATGTTCTTCTAAAAAAGGCCAGTTTGAATAAAAAAAACTTTTTTTACCCTTATTATGCACACAGTCAATTCTTTAAGAACAGACAACATTTTATCTGTGTTTGTCTGTGTATACAAACAAAATAAGAGGTGAATACACGTGCGTACAAAAATGGGTACAACAGGAAGGACTCCAGTTTGAATATACCTCCCCTAAGATATGCATATTTGACACTTTAACGAAGGTTATTTTCAGATACCTCCCCGTAATGTATGCATATTTGACACTTAGAGATAGGTTTTAGAGATAGGTTATCCATATATTATTGAAGTGCCCCCTAAATCCTAATCCAACATCCTATCATATCTCAAATTGATCAAGGAAAACAATTGAAAATCCTCATTAAAATGTCAATAACGATGCTGCAGGGGAACTAAAGTTTACAAAGCAAACTACTCCATATCTAATACCGATAAAAAATGACATATTTATTATTGGAAAGATTGATCATAATAATTTGACAATTTTTTTTGTCTTTGCTCGCAATAAAGTCACTTAAACGTAAAATAAAAAAGGCTCACATTTACTCATCTTCTTTCATTAATCTATGACAACCTGTTATTTCAAGTTTTTTACTTTTCCTTTAATAAATATTAAACGAATAATCTCAAATTTCGTATTTAATAGATGTAGAGTGTTTACAACACACCCTTATCAAAGTCTGAGCAACTAACTTATAAACCATGTTGAGTGCTTATAGAGAGTGTAGAGAGATCGACTAAGCTATTTAATGAGAGATTAATTAAGCTTATAGAGAGTGGCCCGGGCCGGTTCATTTTTTGGAGACCCGTGGCCTGCCCCAATATAACACGGTTCAGGTCTTCTTGCCCGGGCCTGGAACCGGGCCGCGGGTCGGGCCGGTTACAAACAGTACCGGTTCGGACCGGTTCCGGTCTGGTTGACCCGGCCCGAGTCCATCCCTATCTACTAGTATACACAACATCTTCATCCATTGTAAGCCCTGTAAATAAACTATCTCTACCCATTATCAAGCTACATCACTTTTGAGCTAAATAATACTTTCTCCGCTCCTAAATAAACTATCTTCATCCATTCCTTATTTGGTAAACAAAACAGTGTCAAGCCTAGTTAGCTTTTTTCCATTTTAAACGCGTACCATTTTTTTGAACAGAAAAACACGTTTAAAACGAAAAATAATGTCGGTCCGTTTGAAAAGGAAAAAAGCTCCTGCTTCCCATATAAAACGTATTTTCCCGTATTTTACTAAAAATAGAAACATGAATTGATCAATTGAATCATAGACATTAAATGCATATGAGATCAATAATAGTGTAAAACCAAAAAAGAAAAGCTCCTCCATGTGACCCCATGTTTTTGAATTGCTAAAATACAATTATTAAATACTAAAATTAATTGCACGGCAGCTAAAGCTAACATTCTTAAAGACTAAAACTTAAAATACTACCGAGTACTAGATTTCTGATGTTTTTCCGAACAAGCATGTCAAAATTATAGTTTTATCTAAACCTGACATTTTTTAATATAAACTTTTACGCATAAACAATAAGAAGCGTGCGTAGCAGTCGCATATGTCATCTGTCATCTTGATGAAAATGATGAATTTAAATTGAGTGTTATTTGATGTTCATATAAAGATAATCATTTTAAATTATTCTCAATCTGTTGTTTTATGTCTTATTTGTTGACGTTAGTTTACAAAATCATGTCTTGGACTTAATTTTTATTTTTATTTTGTCATCGACTTATGCAATTACGAATTATTCTTTTATGTAGTAATGAGATTTGTTGCTTGAATATGTGTATTCTTTTATTTCTTTTTACTATATATGTTATTTTATGAAGTACGATAGTATATAATTTAAATGTTCAAAATAGTACCCGTATTTTTTATCCGAATTTTTGTAACAGATAGTGTATTATACATGTATACGTATTTACACGTTTTTTAAAAGTCAACGTTTTTTTGAACGAATTTTTTACCGTTTTTTCATTAATGTTACCGAATAAAATGCGTACGTATTAAACCTCGTTTAATTCCTGTACCGTATTTAACTAACTAGGGTGTCAAAAGTGCCATTTTCTTAAATTTTGTGTAATTAAAAGGGATACTTTTAAATAGGGACGGAGGAAGTATACTATACACATCTCTTTTTAGCTACTCCCACTTATTTACTTCCCTATGTGACCTTTTTTGGACCAACCAATATTATTTAGAGAGTGTTTGGATATGCTTCTTAAAATTGTGTTTGCTCCTTTAAGGAGCAAAAACAAATATTGAAATTGGAGGAGACCGGTTTCTAAGAAACTGATTTCAATTCTATTTCTGTTTTTTAAAAATAAGTAAAAGCAGAATCTATTCCAAAATCCAAATAGCCTAATTAACTTCCCATTGATATGTATACAAAGATACCGTGATAACTTTTTTCTATTAATGTTTTCGATCAAGAGTAGTAATTATATTATTATGAACATAACAATAGCATACATTCAACTCATACTAATAGTCGGGATCTTCTTTTGCATGAGTTTATTGAGTTATGTGTTGACTAATTTATACAATTTCATACCAAACATCTCAAGTAGTTAGATTTAAAGGGTTTTTTCATACATGACTTTGTATTCATTATATAGTAAAATTGAATATATAATCATCACTTAAGGTTAATAGTATAATCACTTTATATAAGAAATTGCATTTTTATCAACCATCTTTATTTCAGTTATATATGTCATTATTTCTAGATTTAAAGTGCCCATTACAATGGTTGTATCAGTTGATATGATGTATTAAGAATCCAAGTTCCAACCAACCAGCAAACCAATATAATCACAGTTTAAAAGGTGTCCATAAAAAAGATGAAACAGCTCAAATATCCCCCATATCAGCTTATATAGAGAGTTGTGTGGCTTGTGAATGTCAAGACTCAAGAGCATCTACAGGAAAGGAGGAGTGGGAAAATAGAACCACCAAATAAATATAAATTGCATTCTATTTTACAAAAAAATAAAGTTTCTGCTGGACGCTATAGATACACATTGTTGCAAGGTTGCAAACTTGCAAAAGAGAACTAACTAAAATCTGAAGAGTCTACCAGCGCCACCCTTTCTAATTTGCGCCCAAGCAATAGCAGCTGCAAAAGCGCCTCCCAAGTGCGCAGACCCCGATATTTGAGTGTCACCCTACACCCATAAACACAGGCCCAAATACCTCAAATAATTAAACTCAGATAACAAATACATATCTATATTATGCATATTTAAATGGGGCTTGACGAGATTTAAAAAAAACAAATTCCCACATCTCCAGCTAACAGAACTAACTTCTTCCAGTGAAGGTCAGGTAAATTGACCTTTAACGCATTATTTATCAGTTGTTAATGGTTATAAGAAATTAAGAATCAATCACTTGTATAATGCTTTATGTATTGATCAATACAAAATGAGAAGTAAAGTTTAGAGCAAGAAGAGCATACCTCAAGTATTCTTAGTACATCTTTTCCAATCAGAAAAATTCCCTGAAAACCAATTACAGCAAGCAGAATAAGATTAAGACATGACCACATAATCATCACTGCCAATTATTATTAGTGGATCTACAATATTATTGTAAATATTACTCCATATAGTTATAATTACACACCAGTAAGGCCGCAGGAACTGGGAATATGAAGTCGAAATATAGGGTCTTTTTGGGGAAGAGGAATATATCAAGCAACATAATTGCATTCACTGCCCCGCTTGCTCCCTGAAAGGCAATGAGCAGAACTAAATTGGTTAACCAAAAATGAACTTTTTGCACTAATTGCTTCCTGGAAATTTGGCAGCACTGCAACAGACGATTTTTGTACCAAATAAAATAAAGATTTGATTGTTTCTTTTTGAAAAATAATAGGAAGGTTAAATGATATAGCATAAAATGATACACATGCATCATGCCATGTGTTGTGTTTTATCTTTTCATCTTCTTTTATCAAAATATATACAGTGTGAAGACTATACAATAACACATCCAAGCCTTAGTCCCAAAAGATTTTGGGGTCGGCTAACATGAATAGATACATGATATTGGAGCCAAAATGAAAAGAAAGATAAGAAAGATAAGGTAAGATAAAAAGGATAAGATAAAGATAAGATAAACAATGATAAGATAAAAACGGTAAAAAGAATATATATAAATAAAACGGATCGGAGGATGAAGACTATAACTCTTTAAAACATAATTAACTAGGGAAGACTATAATATACAGTATGAAGACTATAATTGTGTAAAACATAAATCAAAAAGAGGAACAAGAATGTACCAATCCATATATACTTGAAGGGCTCCTCACCATTCCGCTCCTGTGAGTCTACGAAACAGTGTTTAGCAATCATAAGACCAAACACACATAGAAAACCATGCTTTTCTGTACTCTAAAATGCTTTAAAAATATGGTTTTTTTTCAAAAATATTACTAAATTAAAACTTATTTACACAAATATGACTAATAGTTACTACAATGTGATGTCATGGTAACTTAAGTTTAAAAATTGAACATAAGTTACTATGATTCCATTACTACTCTACACACTAGTCACATTTTTGTAAACAATCTTTAGTTTAGTCATAAATGTCTCTCTCAAACCATTTGAGTGTGTGTGTGTGTCTATATATAAAAACTTACCTGCGTTGATGGAAGAATGAAGGCATGATACACCAAGAAAAATACTGAACCAACAACTGCCCCAGACAGATACAATTTCAGAAGATATCCTGAGCCAAACATTCTTCCCACCTGCATGTGACAAGGTGAGATTGGAAAACCAGTTATTGTAGTGAAGGACAAACCAATTATCAGATTAATGACTTCAACACAAAAATAGAGCTTTCCCAACACACAGCCATATTTACAACAAACAATACTGTGTATGTACATGACTTAACACTACAAGACTAAACATCTAGGTAGAATTTTCAT